CTAATTTATACTAGAATCATGCTAGTAACATGCTAATTCATACTAGAATCATGCTAGTAACATGCTAATTCATGCTAGAATCATGCTAGTAACATGCTTATTCATGCTAGAATCATGCTAATAACATGCTAATTTATACTAGAATCATGCTAGTAACATGCTAATTCATACTAGACTCATGCTAGTGACATGCTAATTCATACAAGAATCATGCTAATAACATGCTACTTCATGCTAGAAAAACACTAGTAACATGCTAATTTTACTACAATCATGCTTATAACACAGTAATTCATGCTAGAATTATGCTAGTAACATGCTAAATCATGCTAGAATCATGCTAATAACATGCTAATCCATGCTAGAATCGTACTAATAAGATGCTAATTTATGCTAATAACTTGCTAATCTATGCTAGAATCATGCTAATAACATGCTACTTATACTTTTTCAAACTGTTTTTAAACTAAATAAACTATTACCAACAGGCTTTGTCAAGCCAGCCTCAAAGTTTGTCTCGACGAACTTTACTGTCTAGTTATATTTTCTTCTTCTGAGACTAAAAATTAAACTCTATCTCGTCCTAGGCCTTTGAAGCTATGACCATCAAACTCGGGTCAGACCTCCGAACTATTCTGACTCGAGTTGCTATATCCTTTCCGACTGATCCGACTTTCGGTTTTCCGAAAAACGTCCCGGGACCGTCGGAAAAATCCCATAGACGTAACATTGGATCAAACTTTGTGACCTCATAACTCCGCATCAGAATGTCACACAGATTTCTAACTGGGCTCATTTAACTCAGACTATCAAACTGCCAATGACTGATCACCTTTAAACTTTCTGGCCACGCCCTAGCAACCACTTTTGGACCCTAGAAACCGTCCCATAGACTTCCATTGCAAAAGACTCTCATTGACTTTACATGGGATCAAACTTTGTGAGCTCATAACTCTGCATCAAACTGTCCTACAGACTAATGCCTGAGCTCATTTAACTCAGTCTAGCCAGCAGCCAATCGCTGATGGCCTTTTAACTTTCTAGCCACACCCTAACAACCAGATAATGCACCCTAGCAACTGTCCCATAGACTGCCATTAAAGAGGTTCAGACTGATATTGTCATGCTGCAGTGTGATAGAGACATGGGGATTGTTTTCAACTGTTCATACTGGCAAGAAGCTTTGTTACATCATCAGTCTTAGCTGTCAATCAACTCCATAGCAACAAATCAGGCTAACCTAGCAACGATATGACACCAGCTATATCTCAGCATCAGAACATCGTAGAGAGGCAGGGGTTGGCTTGTTTGACTCATGCTTGCACACCATCTATCTATCTATCTATCTATCTATCTATCTATCTATCTATCTATCTATCTATCTATCTATCTATCTATCTATCTATCTATCTATCTATCTATCTGTCTGTCTGTCTGTCTGTCTGTCTGTCTGTCTGTCTGTCTATCTATCTATCTATCTATCTATCTATCTATCCATCATGCTAACAATATGCTAATTCATGCTAGAAACGTGCTAGTTACATGCTAATTCATGCTAGAATCATGCTAGTCACATGCTAATTTATACTAGAATCATGCTAACAACATGCTAATTCATGCTAGAATCGTGCTATTCACATGCTAATTCATGCTAGAATCATGCTAGTAACATGCTAATTGATGTTAGAATCATGCTAACAACATGCTAATTCATGCTAGAATCATGCTAGTAACATGCTAATTTATGCTAGAATCATGCTAACAACATGCTAATTCATGCTAGAATCATGCTAGTAACATGCTAATTCATGCTAGAATCATGCTAACAACATGCTAATTCATGCTAGAATCATGCTAGTAACATGCTATTTCATGCTAGAATCATGCTAGTAACATGCTAATTTACGCTAGAATCATGCTAGTAGCATGCTAATTCATGCTAGAATCATGCTAACAACATGCTAATTTATGCTAGAATCATGCTAGTCACATGCTAATTCATGCTAGAATCATGCTAGTCACATGCTAATTTATACTAGAATCATGCTAACAACATGCTAATTCATGCTAGAAACATGCTAGTTACATGCTAATTCATGCTAAAATCATGCTAGTCACATGCTAATTCATGCTAGAATCATGCTAGTCACATGCTAATTTAAACTAGAATCATGCTAACAACATGCTAATTCATGCTAGAATCATGCTAGTAACATGCTAATTGATGTTAGAATCATGCTAACAACATGCTAATTCATTCTAGAATCATGCTAGTTACATGCTAATTCATGCTAGAATCATGCTAACAACATGCTAATTCATGCTAGAATCATGCTAATTCATGCTAGAATCATGCTAACAACATGCTAATTCATGCTAGAATCATGCTAGTAACGTGCTAATTCATGCTAGAATCATGCTAGTAACATGCTAATTTATGCTAGAATCATGCTAGTAACATGCTATTTCATGCTAGAATCATGCTAGTAACATGCTAATTTACGCTAGAATCATGCTAGTAGCATGCTAATTCATGCTAAAATCATGCTAGTAACATGCTTATTCATGCTAAAATCATGCTAACAACATGCTATTTCATGCTAGAATCATGCTAGTAACATGCTAATTAATGCTAGAATCGTGCTAACAACATGCTAATTTATGCTAGAATCGTGCTAGTATTATGCTAATTCATGCTAGAATCGTGCTAGTAACATGCTAATTCATGCTAGAATCGTGTTAGTAACATGCTAATTCATGCTAGAATCGTGCTAACAACATGCTAATTCATGCTAGAATAATGCTAGAAACATGCTAATTCATGCTAGAATCATGCTAACAACATGCTAATTCATGCTAGAATCATGCTAGTTACATGCTAACTCATGCTATAATCATGCTAGTAACATGCTAATTCTTGCTAAAATCATGCTAACAACATGCTAATTCATGCTAAAATCATGCTAGTAACATGTTAATTCATGCTAGAATCATGCTAACAACATGCTATTACACGCTAGATCTATCTATCTATCTAACAACATGCTATTACACGCTAGATCTATCTATCTATCTATCTATCTATCTATCTATCTATCTATCTATCTATCTGTCTGTCTGTCTGTCTGTCTGTCTGTCTGTCTGTCTGTCTGTCTGTCTGTCTGTCTGTCTGTCTGTCTGTCTATCTATCTATCTATCTATCTATCTATCTATCTATCTATCTATCTATCTTTTCTTACTTTTTAAAACTGTTTAAACTAAATAAACTATTACCGTCAGGCTTTCACAAGCCAGCCTCAAAGTTTGTTCTCAAACTTTAAGAATCTAGTTTTAGATTAATATCTAAAGGTCCCTTATTCTTCATTGACAGCAACAGTCGAGAGACATGGAAAAACATTGCCAAAACATTTCATGCGACTTTTGTGGTTTAACTGTACACATATAAAGCTCCAAGAACATTTTCGTGTGCCAAAAAAGGTCAATATAACTTTATTCATCTTTCATATCAGATCAGGGTGCCTTTTGCATTTACTATGTTGTACGGCCTGTAGTAAGTGCACACACTGATTAAGTCATATATACTATTTTTTTACCACACAAAATTGTTATTGGAGCTTCTAATTGTTATAGTTGCATCACTGAAGTGACATGGGGTTTTCGACAATGTTTATAGACTGCTTACAGACAGGAGGTTAAGGAGCTGGCTGTCTGGTGCAGTCACAACAACCCGGAGCTCAACAGGATAAAATCAGTGGAGATGATAGTGGACTTCAGGAGAAACCCCTTGCTCTCCCCCCACTGAGCATCACGGACAGCACTGTGGCAGCAGTGGAGTCATTCAGGTTCCTGGGCACCACCATCTCTCAGGACCTGAAGTGGGACACTTACATTGACTTCATTGTCAAGAAAGCTCAACAAAGGCTGTACTTTCTTCATCAGCTGAGGAAGTTCAACCTCTCAAATGAGCTGCTGAAACAGTTCTACACCTCCATCATTGAATCAGTCATCTGCAAATTAATAACTGTCTTTTTTAGCTCAGCTACCAAATCTGACCACGAAGACTACATTGAATAGTTCAGACTGTACAAACCTCCTTACTCTTCAAGAACTGTACTTATTCAGAGTGAGCCGAACGGCTGTCAAAATCACAATGAACCGCTCACACCCAGCACACTGCCTCTTTTAACTTTTACCTTCTGGTCGACGCTACAGAGCACCATGCACTAGAACAGCCTGACACAGAAACAGTTTCTTCCCTCAGGCAATCCATCTCATGTCTCAACACTTGATGACAGTAACTGTGAAACAAACATCACTACTTGCTATACACTTTTATACACATATTTTTAACAAAACACTTTACATGCCGATTTGCACATAACAGCCACACATATAACGTTGTATATAGTAATACACCTGTACATACACTTGTCAATTTGTATATTTGCATTCACTACTTACTTATATTTTAAAAATATATTTATTATCTGTTTTTTGTCATGTCTCTGAAATTCTGTTGCACTGTAACAGAAGCTCTGTCACGAAAACAAATTCCTCGTATGTCTGAACATAGCTGGCAATAAAGCTATTTCTGATACTGATTTATTTTGAAAGAACCATTGCTGTCTAAGGAGGATTAGAGAGATCTAGGATTTAATCTAAATGATTTGTGCTCTGAAGGTAAATGAGGATTACATGAGATTGAAAAGATATAGACGATTTCCAATTTTTTGTGTGAACCAACCCTTTAAACAAGTATTTGCATATATATATGCAAATACGTGTGTGTGTGTGTATATATATATATATATATATATATATATATATATATATATATATATATATATATATATATATATATATATATATATATAAAACAACGGCATTAACATTTTGATTAGTTATATTTCCCAAAATTACTATTAGTTCTTTAATTCAGTTGAATACTTAGCAACAGTAAGTTATGTCCACAGTCAGTTCATCATCGTCCCTAACGTTACCTTCTGTAAGAGCGCATTGCAGACCAGCTGCAGTTTGTCCGGACTGATGTCCAGCGGCACATCAAAGGGAGACCCGAGCACCTCACCGGCCTCATCCTGGAGCTGGATCAACACACGCTCCACATCCGCGCTCATCTTCCCTTCAAAGACACTAAAGTATACACTATCAGCTTCGAAGCACGTGAGCCACGAAACTGCGAAACAAGTTATTTTTATCAAGCACTCGTCATTAAAAAAACTTCTTAAATTAAAGTAAACAGCAAGAACTCAATACATTTACAAAACTCAATACTGTCAACATGGTAAATACCTGTCGATATTGATCACCGCACACTCACTCCACGCGTACAGTGTGCAGTATTTCGGACGCAGGCTAAATCGCGTGTGCGTGACGTAATAAGCGAGCGACTACTGTGACTGTACTGAAGTCGGAAAAGAAGTGGACGTTTAGCCGACACAAGAATGGGGGGCAAAAATAAACAGAGAACGAAAGGAAATGTTCGGGTGAGTTAAAATGAAAGTTATTCGGTTATTAATCTCTTTTCGCTACCAGCCAAACTGTTGAGATGTATTAGTAAAGCCAATGTAGCTGACTCCGAAACATGACAGCGCGATAAACCCATGTGATAAACTAGTTGGGTGTTTATGTTTTTGCTTTTGGTAGCTGTATAAACGCAGCGTTTATGAAATATGTGTCTAAACGGTTTTTTTTATCGTGCCTGTTATGTACAACGTTACCTGTGTACATGTAAACCTGACGTCACGTGTTTGAGGAGTAATCAGTCAGAAAGTGCATTGGTTGAGCAACCTTTGATCATGGCTGTTGTGAAAATTACGTTTTTTGCTAATTGAATACCATTTGTATAACCGAAGTTTGACTACAGATAACATGGTTAACAAAACTATGGCTACTGTAGCATAACCATGCTGTTTTTGTGGTGACCATGGTCAAAGACTTTGCCTTAGTTTAACTACAATAACCATGTTTTATTATTTGTAGTAAAACTATGGTAAATTTTGAGAGATGGGAGCTTTAATCTGACTATACCATAGGACTGTGACCAATTAGATAATGAAATAGACATGAATGAGTGATGGCAGCTTTTGTGTTTTGTCTCTTTCAGCCTTCCAGCAGTGGCAGAGCTGCTGATCTGTTGGCCCGGGAGAGCGGTGTTGTTCCCGGGTTTGTGGGATTCGGTGTCTCGACCTCTAATGATTTAGGATATGTACCTGCAGTACAGGGGGCAGAGGAGATAGACAATCTAGTGGATGCAGACTTCCGCATGGTTCTGCGGAAATTGTCCAAAAGAGATTCAGTCACAAAATTAAAGGTACAGTTGTGCTGTGGTTGATTTCTGTCTCAGAATAAAAAAAATATCTAAAAACTAGTGCTGTCAAATGATTAATACAAGTATATCACATACAAATTAAAATATGTATTTACATAATACAAATGTGTGTGTTTTAATGTGTACATATGTGCATATTTTTATATGTTATTCACATTATTATGATTATGTTAATATTGCACACACACAACTTATTTAAATTATATATTGTATTAGATATAATTTTTTTCTGCATAATAATAAAAAAAAATAATAACAATAATATAAATTTTATTTCTCAGAGATGGGTTGCGGCTGGAAGGGCATCGGCTGCGTAAAAAATTTGCTGGATAAGTTGGTGGTTCATTCCACTGTGGCGACCCTGGATTAATAAAGGGACTAAGCTGTCAAGAAAATAAATGAATGAATGAATGAATATAAATTTTAAAGATATGCACAGATCATACTCATTATGTAATTGCAAACTTATATTCCGGTGAGATTAATCATTTGACAGTATTCATAAAAACTTCAGGATTATGAGTTAAAAAGTTTATATCTGTCTGTAGTTTACATCACAGTTTTTGTTTTTCACCGTCAGAATTGCTAATTCTTGCAATTGCACAGTTATACTTTTATATAGATATAGTTTATATTCTCAAAAAATATCTTTTTACTTATAAACAGCAAAAATCAGTCCTAGGCACTCAAAAATGTGTAAAATATTAAAAAGCCTTTATAGACATGACTGTATTCAGGAATAGCCATGTTAGTAAAGGCTTTTTAATATTTTTCCACAGTTTTCAAGTGCTTTGGACTGATTTTTTGCTATGTAGTCTGATGAATCTTTTACCTAAAGAGCACAAACACATTATACCCCTGAGTACATTTAGTTTATTTTTGGATCATTTAAAGATTGTAAAATGTGCATAACTGTACAAATATTTAAGTGATTTGAAAGATCCAACTAAACTTTATGCAATCTTTGGGAACATTTTTGAGCATAACAGGTTTTAACTTCTGGAACCCGACTGATATTTTGATTTTAATTAAATTTATTTAGAATTTGTTTCCGATATTAAAGTTTAATACTACGCTGTTTCATAATTTATGTTTATAATGTGACTATCTTCATGGCTTTTTAAGCAATATCAACATTGTTGTTTTTCCAAACACAGTATGCGCTGCTGTATTTAGTTTGCTTCATTTTAGTTTTTAGGACAAGGACAAGGCCACACAATACATTGTTTTATCACTGTATCAGTCTGTCTAAAACCTACTAATTCATTCATTCATTCATTCATTTTCTTTTCAGCTTAGTCCATTTATTAATCTGGGGTCGCCACAGTGAAACTGAACCAACAACTTTTCCAGTACATGTTTTATGCAGCGGATGTACACACTCATAAACTACGATTTTCTGGGACAATTCAACCTACCCAATTCACCTGTACCGCATGTCTTTGGACTGTGGGGGAAACCGGAGCACCCGGCGGAAACCCACGCGAACGCAGGGAGAACATGCAAACTTTACACAGAAATGCCAACTGACCCAGCCGAGGCTCGAACCAGTGACTTTCTTGCTGTGAGGCGACAGCACTGCCTACTGTGCCACTGCGTCGCCCTACATGCAAATTATTTATCGAATTTTGATTTAACCGACTTAATAACTGAATGTTTTATAAATGTTGGTAAACATGTATTTCAGGCAGTACAAGAGTTTGGAGCAATGTGTCAAGAGCGGCAGACTGATGTTGTAAAAGGTGTCCTGCCATACTGGCCTCGGATATACTGCCGGATATCGATGGTAAATATTTAATCATTATAGTTATACATTCGTAAATATGTAATACATCGTTATTTTTAGGCTAATTTATTAATTTATTATGTTGAATGTATCATTTTTAACTTTTGTTTACTGTTCGGGATGTTTTCATCCACTCTGGGGTGATTTTTGAGTTGAAATTTGGCCACAACTTTCTCTGTTTCAGCAAATAGAATGATTTTTGGTTACAAATCCTATCTAAAGGGTTAATTGTGCCAACAGTAAAAATGGCAAATCTGACCTCTTTCCAATAAGGAAAACCACCAACAGTCAAGAATATGCATGATTAATTGGTGTCATGGCTTTGCAATCAAAAATAATGCTATAATTAAAGTCAATAGGGCAAAAACAGCCACCAATATATAAAAAGGGTTGTAAATTTGATCAATACACAAAGGTTAATAAAATTGTATTAAATTTGAAAAACTCTTTTTTTTTATGTTTTTTTTTCATCTCACTGTATGTAAAGGCAGCTAGAAGCTTTAAGAGCATTTTATTTAGTTGTTTTGTTTCTGTAAATGCAATATCCTTTTTTTATTGGATATTTAATCAAATGTGTTTTCATCAGGACCACGATCGCCGTGTGCGAGAGGCCACACAACAGGCCTTTGAGCAGCTGGTTTTAAAAGTCAAGAGGAATCTGGCCCCCTACCTGAAGAGCATCATGGGTCACTGGCTCATCTCTCAGTGCGACACGTACTCTCCTGCTGCCTCAGCCGCCAGCGCTGCTTTTCAGGCTGCTTTTCCCCTCAATAAACAAACAGAGGCTATCAGCTTCTGTAAAGATGAAATCCTCAATGTGAGATAATTGCTTTATGAAACTAAATGACCTTCTGCAGAATTTGTGATGCTAGTTGTCATTGCTCATCATATATTACTTCTGTGGTTCTCAGGTTCTCCAAGACAATTTGCTGAAAGAAACAGCGGACACACTTAGTGACCCTAAGTAAGTGTTGAATTTCTACTGAAATAACCTGATGGAGATGTGTTTGGTTTACTTAGCTATATTTTATATTCTATTTTCAGTGTGTGCCTCATAAATAATGTTTTTTGTTGTTGTTGTTGTAGAGTATATTTTTCATTTTATAATATAAAGCCTCAAAGTAAAACAAAAATCTATGCAAAAATGAGAACAAATAGTCAGTTTATTAAAATTTCAGATATACATTAATATGTACTGCAAAAAAAAAATGCAGGGTTTTACACAATTCATTTGGGTTGTCCCAACACAAATCAATTAAGTTAACTTAAAGAGCCCTTACTATACATGAAATAGAGTCATATTTTGGTTGTAAGGGTCTCCAACAACAGTCTAATATGCACGCAAGGTCAAAAACACTTTAATTATCTTGTAATCTGCATTTATTTTTGCCTAATTATCCCAGCGACTCCCGTATGAATCGTTTAGTCATTCAATTGTTCCCAAACCTCTCCTTAGCACGAAGCAAATCTGCGCTGATTGCACCGATGACAGCCTGCTGCGATTGGTCGACACTGACTGCCTTTAGCGCGAGATAGAGTGAAATGCCCTGCAGCTAATCAACAATATAAAATTAGTCACAGTGCATACACGCTTCATAGTGTAATGTGTGGATTTTGGCTGCTAGTGGGTGAATGTAAATACGGACGATGAACTTGAAAATACAGACGACTAACTATTTTATTGAGCTAAAACTCCAAGAACTGGCAAGGAGATCTCCTAGCTCACCACACTCTACCTGCTCTTTTCACACACACACACACACACACACAGACACACACACACACACACATACATTTCTCTCCTCGGAGGACACAGCGCACACACACATACACACACACACGCAACCTTCCTCCTCGGACGAACGCGCACACACAAACACACACACACACACACACGCATTACCCTCCTCTACGATGGTCCATAAACAAAGCGGCACGCGCCGAGTTTTTAACATGTTTTTACACGCGATATGAGAATATAGCGAGTTAACCTGATAGAGTACACGTGGTTACATGTAATAAAATCACAGACAACAACTTTAAACGCACGTAACGTTACTTACACTTGAGAAATGGAGGAAGAAACGGATGCAGGTTCTGACATAACTTATCAGTTTTCTTTACTGATTTTTCCTTTAACAAATGGCCGATGAAGTATTCTTTGTAGCATGTAGTTTCCAGAACCACTCAAAACTGCTCAAGGCTGGGCTAATGCTGAGGTTTTTATCTTTGGGTAGAGACTCAATAATA